CGTGTTTTGGCGGATGCGCTTGAACTCTTGTAGCTTGAGTTCTACTTCCGCGTTGGTTCGGAATTGGTCTTCGATGATCTGTCTGAATACATGCCATGCGGGATATCGCAGATATCCACATGTTTCGTCATAGTATTCGTCCCGGGTGTGATTCCACCAGTGTAGGGCTTTGTCGGTAAGTCGGAACGTACAGAACACTACCCGGTTCGAGCTTTGTCCGTGTGCGTTCATAGTGAACTGCTGTGGAAATACGTTGAAATAATCTTCGCACTGGTTGAGGAATCTGTCTACATCGCTGGATTCCCCTTTGAACTTCTCGGGGGGATCCGCGAGCTGTGGTTTCACCTGCCCCCACGGATTCGTGTTGGCCACCCCGACAATAAAGGGTGGTGGCGTGTTTGGTGGTTGTACGGGGTCAGCGGGGATAGGAATTGCTGCCGGGCGTGGTAAAGATCGTAGTGCCGGGTTATGATGAGGGGTGGTTGGGCCTTGTGGTGCAGGGGCTGGTACTGCGGGTACCGTGGCCGCAGCACCTGCACTTCCTGGCGTTCCTGCAGCAGCAAATAGCCGGCTAGGGTCGACGTACCCTGTTCTTTTGAGAATCGATAAGTGGCTCAGGTCTACCGTGCTTCCACTCGTTTCTGATGGAATGGGTACCTGATATCTTTCTCCGGGGTCCGTGTAGTCGTCCGGGTGTACTTGGTTCCATAGAACGTTGGTGTGAAAAACGGTTTCTCGGTAAATCACCTGGGCCCCAATTTGTGAATCCCTTTCCTTTTGGAAGTACCTTCCTTGCGGCGAGCTGTTCCACGACAGCTCCTGCGGTAGCTTCCGTTCAATCCATCTCAGCATTTCCAAGTATGTCATATTCTCTAGCTCGGCCTCAGTAGGCTCCCGAGCTAGATCCTTCACGAATTCTGGGATAACGTCCTCCTCTCCGTATTCTCCAACTCTATGCTGCTGCTGTAGATCGAAGTCCGCCCTATTCCAGGGTTCTCGTAAATTTCGCCTTCTTCTAATTCCGATAGGTCGGACTCGCTCGAAAGGCTCCGTGCTTCCCGTGACGATACGGTTCCAGTTTCGAATGATTCTTGCCCACTCATTGACCCTGAGTATGACTTGGTTGAAGTCTGGCCTTCGGGGTCGGTCCCATACCCAGGGTGCGATGAAAGGGACAGGGGCCACGAGGGGGGTGTTCGGCTGCGAGTGGATAGATGACGTAGGGGACGACGGATGCGGGGGGTTCAATTCCTTCGTACATTCTCCAGGCGTCGGCGTAGTCCTGTGTTTGTCTGCATATATCGCAGCTGGCGTCGGCGTCGTATGTGGGCTCGCACTGGTCGAGCTTGGTAGTGGCTTCCCCGGCCCTATCGTTGATGATGATTGGGGTGTTGGGACGCGTGACGAGCTGGAGTAGCTTCCTTCATCGTCTGAGGAGTCACTGCGGGCGTAGTAGTAGCCCCATGTTTCCCCTCTTGAGTCGAGTCGGGGAGGAGACCAGTCGTTGCGTGGCCCTGGGAGCTTGTCGCTGCTACTGTCTTCCTCTTCATCGCTGCCTTCTTCATTTGAACTGCTTCCAGTTCCATCTTCAGCCTCTCTTCCTTCTCCCAGATGATATCTAAGCCCTCTTTGATAGAGGCGCTGTCCGTTCGAATCGTATCCAGGATTGGCGGCTGAGTTTTCAGTTGAGGTTGGGGAGGGAGCGCTCCAGGGATCACTTCCTTCGCTTTCCCCTTCACTTTCTTCCTCGGTAATGGGAGAGAGAACACGCTGGTCCACCCCTTGTTCGTAGATTCTTCGCTCTTCTTCTTCTTCAACGACTGGGCCTCTTTGTGCGGGCCATCCTTCCACCTCGGTGTTGGACTTGTTGGACTCGTCTGAGTCGGAGTCTTCTTCTGTGATCCACTCATCGCTGTTGATGAAGATGAAATGGATAATGGGTTCAGGTCTGTCGTCGACATACTCGGGAGGGGGTGTGTTCGGTCGTCTAACCTCCGGGTTGGGGGTTTCGACGGGGAGAGTTTCTTCGGAGACTGGCTCCTGGTTTCGTCGGTATTCGTATCCATACAGGAATGCGAGGTAGGTTATGGCAACAAAGCCTTGGAGTCCGAAGAGGTCGGTGAGGTATTGTTCGACTGGGTTCATTCGTTACTGTTCGTCAACGTGGTTGTTGATGAAGAGTAAGAAAGTCTCAAACTAATTGTTAGCGACCGATTTCACAAACAAGATCAAACAACTAAGCGTGACTTGCACTTCGGTCAGGCGCTTTGTGTTGTCTGCAGGTTTGCGTTAAGGGAGCTATCGCTTAGTTGAGCGAGAGTGAGTTCAGACTAAGTTATCGGGTGAATAAACTTTAGTTCGAGACTGAGGTTTAAGACCTGCAGTCGGGCTACTTAAATACAGTTTGGGTCATGCTAAATATACTACAAGTGTCTGCAACGGTGCGTTAAACACACGAGACCCACATGGTGAATGCGATCAAGTCCGGAGAACTAGCATAGCAGGATTACGATGAAGACGATAAGATAAGATAAAGCGTGAAATCGTAATACACAGTTTCGAAGGGCGTCAACGCGAGCCAAGGTATCCAGTCTAAGCTCCCCTCCCTTCTAAACCCCTATAACAACAGACTTCAATGCTCTCTTTTCCAACATATCCAAGACTGCACCCTCATCCACCTCGCCAGACCAGACAAGCTGCAGATACTCTAGCTCCAGTAGCACCCCCAGATCATCGAGTTTTTTGATGAAGTAGGGAGAAATGAGTTTAACATCTGCATTGATCTGCTCCGCGATAGATAACCGTGTGAGTTGAGGAAGCACCTCAAGGAGGTAGAACATCTCCGGACGACCAATAGTAACTGTGGTCAATTTGAGCTCCATAAGGAGGGGAGATTTCAAGAGGTATCTTGATAGTTGGTAGACTGTATCCTGTCTGCCCATGGACTCGTTGGACACACAGCGGATATCAACAAGCTCCAAAGACATCAGCTGGGGCATCGACCCCATCCGATGAAATTTTGGGAGGTTATCTTTGAGAACAAGCCTCCAGAAGGGAATTGGAGGAAGTCCAAAAATCAAAGTAGGGCATCCTTGGAAGGTAGCAGTCATTGCATTGGGAAAGTTGTAGAACTGAGATGGATAAACCAATGAGAATGTATTCCCGAAGTGGATAGTGGTAATTTGTTTAGACGGTAAAGAGAAAAAGGTGCCGCAGATGGCGTTAAGTGCGACGCTGTGTAATTTCAGAGCGTATTTGAACAGTTTGACCGGATGGTCCCCTGAGAATTCTATATCACCTGAGAACTCGAAGTGCTCAAGTTCCGGGAATTCAGGATGAATATCCTTTCGCAAAATATCCCACAAGCGGACGGTCCGGGAATCGATACCGATATGCTTCACCTGTTGCAGATTCAGAACAACGGGGGAGTACAGGAGCGAATTCATGGCATAATGCAGTCTCCGTTTCACGTCATAGTGATTGAGTCCTTTCACGAAGTCCCCAATCTCCATGGACATCTGGAAATTCAAAAGGCGTGCATGAGAGCGCTGTTTGAATAATTTGGCAACATAGGGAAATTTCAGGGAGGCACCTCTGCAGTCAATGCTGGCCGATATGGATGTCCAGATCGGGGGTGATGATAGGCAGATGTTACGCCAATAGGCGCAGACAGAGGAGAGATAGAAGGGCATGGTGGATACCAGTGGTAGGTCATCACGAGAGAGAAAAGTGTCATAGGATACGGAAGTACAGACAAATTCGAATATATCCTGGAGTACATCATGAGGAAGCCTGCGGACCGGGGACAAAAGGGATTTGAATTTATCCATACACCTCGCAAGGGAGTGGCGACAAGTTCGAGTTGCTCCAGAACAGTATTCAATCGAGATATCTCTGCGTCATATTCTGATATCTTTTTTGGTAGATTGATGATAACTTTTGAATAAAATTGTGTTTCCTTTTCGTCGATTTGTTTCTCGTGGCATAGATAGGTGGCGGTATCAAGAGGCAAGGTGCAGGGTGCTTGACTACCAAAGCATCTGCCACAATTGTTGCAAAGTAGAATATAGGGTTCCATCCGGGTCTCAAACTTGGTATAGTTAGAATAAAACTTAAGGAATAGTACAAAGTTTTACCTGTGTTCAAGTCCCAGTATGAGGACCAAATGGTGACCGGATATGTTATGAATGGAGGGGTCCAGGTGAGCTAATATTCAAGTAGTGAGAAGATGAAGGAATCCAGGCTTGAGGACATACACTAGGGCTATGGTTATGCGTTCTTACCGCCGGAAGAAGTATAAAAGATGAAAGACGGAAGAGGACAGAGTAGCTGTGTTGTTGGCTCCCTGCAGATCGATCCGGCCAACCTTTGCCACTCCAATGATGAATAAACACATTGCAATTTACCATGTACCACAGAGAAGGTATTAGTATTCCAGCAAGGCCTAACCATTTGACAGTATCATCATCAACTAAATACGGTCCATCCGCTCTCTGTCTCCCATCACAGTCCGATGTCAAAGCATCTACTACCCTCTTGTTCTTCCTTTTTCATCGGTGCAAAGCTCCAAGGCCCAGTTGAGAAGAAATGACCTGGCGGGCATTGTGTGCGAGTGTCCGTATCCCTCTTAACCATCCGACAATCCCTCCAAGTTCAAAAACCGAGGAAGGCCCAAAGGAACAACCAATTCCCCTCGGATTAATGGGTTGCGTAGCCGTATTGTGGTAGACTTATCCCACCGTGATTGCGTCTCCATCATCGGCATATCCTGCATCACATGGAGATCAGCCATGATTTCAGGCAGGGTGAGTCGATGCAAAGGATCATAGGCCCAGCATCTTGTCATGAGATCCCACCACAACTCTGCATGCCGAGCCGCTGATACTAGGAATCTCGGATGCCCAGGGTGCTCCTTCTGACTATGACATTCACGATAACAGCACCATCCATGATATTCTCCCAGGGTATTGTCCCATTGAAAATCTTCTTATACCGGAACCTCAGAGAATTGGGGGTGGGGTGGGGTGTGGGAAAATATGCACCTCAAAGTACACGCATGCGAGCGAGTATACGTCGGTTGACAGGCTGTTAGGACTCCCATTGAGGACTTCTGGAGCCTGCCACCTTACAGCGCCGCCCTTATGTGGTGAAGACAAAGTTGTAAAGGTTGTAACACCCATTACGAAGGATAAGCCGAAATCTGCGATGACTGCTCTTTGGTCGTCGGTGATCAGTATGTTATCCTTGTTTTTGTTAAGCGAAATGCCGATAATTAAAAAAAGGTTTTGTGACGCACCCCTTTGGGATCACCGTGAATGATGAGAAGTTTGTGGAGGTAGTTCATGCTGTGGGTGACATCTAGGGCCTACGTATTTATCAGACTTATTCAAGGAGTCATTGGATAAGTCAATTCTTACGAGTTTGTGCTGATCGGGATGGCTGGTGTTATTCATATATTGATGGAGGGATCCACTAGGCATGAATGGCGATACGAGGCAGTAGGAAGAAGGGGCAAAATCATGATAGATGCCATAGAAGGGTAGGACATTGGGATGATCACAAAGTTGAGTCCAGATGATGGCTTCTCGTCGTACTTTCTAGAAAACAGGTGCCATTAAGTTAGTTTAAGTTAAAAGAAGCGATAACATACCCATAGGACTTTCTCAATGTTACTGTCACTTGTGAATATCCTTGCTCATTTGATAGCGACCTGTGTTCCATCGACTTCTCCCCTCCAGACTTCATCAAAGGATCCTTGAGCAAGGGGATAGGCTTTGGTCTTTTTGAAATCTCGAAGCATGAGACACTGAGGTATGCAATCATGAATGCATGATATTTTGAGGCATGATTCGAAAATAATGCTCCTGGATATCATTGGGGGACCTGGTACATCTAGAAGCTGATGAACAGCAATTAAAAATGAGAGATTCGACGAATGTAAGCTATGGCGTATGTCCTGAAGGAAGTCTAGAGTGCATTGTGCTTCCTCGGGTGATAAATCTAGTAGCTGATTGTTTATATTCGATTTTGAAAGTGTCTTGTTGACTCGCTTCACTGCATCGCCTATGCTTATGTCTAGACCATGGACAGGCACAAAACTAAGCGACTCTGAAAGTGCATCCATGATAGCCTGTCTTTCCTTCAGATGTCATGCAAAAGTAGTGGAATACGTGTGTACTCGCCTTGTTGTCTTGATATTCACCTGAAAGTCCATGTGGCATGCCGGGAGATGGCAATTTCTCAAGGAGCGACAACGGTTCCGTCGTGTTATTCTGGTTGGTGTCGTTCCACATGCTTAGGAGTAGTTCGAGGTTTCGTTTGTCATTCTCGAACTGGATTCCATGTGTTGGGGACAGATTCATCTCATCTTGTCTGGATTCTGGCTAAGCAACGTATCAGTAAATTTAAGACCAGGCCATCGTGCTCCTGTTTCCCTTTCCTTTTGCTTACCCTCAATGCTGTTGGAATTTGAGGGTGGGGTTTGATGTCCGTAGCCAACACCATAGTCAAAACCATCCGTCTTCATATTTGTGTATCCATTCGTTCTTGGCTGCTGGTGAAGCAAAAGTACTTGCTACAGGTGATTTGACGGTCACTGTGTCTGGCTGAGAAGGTCGACCACCATAGCTCTGCGATTGAGTGGGTTATGGTGCACTGCAGGTGATGGTTCTACAGAAGTGAAAACAGAGTGCGGAGCCAAGAGGGACAGACCAGGTGCAGGTCCAATACGTCTATAAGCTAATTAGGTGCATTGTATGGACATTGATGGGTTTTCTGCATACCGTATAGCTTCCTGAGAACGTTTCCTTCTTCTTCGCTCCATATATCAGCTAATGAAACGAAAAGATGCAATGGATGAACCTCGGCCAGTTAGACATGATGACGGGAAGATCCATCACCAGAAGATGTCCTGTGCCCATGATGGCTTTGACATGCAAAACATAATTGATATTGATATGCCTGGCAGAATTAAGGGTCGTCGTTGTATGACTCGGAGAAATCGTAGATGATAGTTCTGCTTTATGCTGCATTCCCCCCATAAGAGTCATGTTGACAGCAAACTTGTTTTCGAGGATATTGCCGACTCGTGTTACTGGCATAGTTTGTTGGCCCCTGGTGAATGCTCCAGCACGAAATGTTCTCGATTCATGAATAGATAGCTCGAAGCCACGAAGTATCACAGTATGAAGGTTATTGGATCTGACCGTGGCAAATACAGCAACATGATCACCAGGGCCATAGCAGGTTTTATGATGCTCGACAGTCACAGAGACACCATCGAGCTCAACTCGCCGCACATCAGTCTGGCAGTACACTGGCCACATAGAGTGCAGATTGTGCTTGTCGATAATGATTTCGTTTTGAGTCAACACAACGTTTGACTTTTTTTTCCGTAAGAAGCCACTATAGGAAGCTGAGAAAGTGGCACACACATCCAGCCACGACACAGCACATGTACCATTCACCTTTCGTACACAAGCTGGTAATGAGGTCAGCGATGCCCACTTAGAAGCGCAGTATAATCGGTGCTCACCACACCCCTCTAAGGTGAGTATCGGCGGAATGGATTCGGGTATGCGAATATCGAATGGGAAGTCCAACTGCAAGTAGATTGTGCCAATAGGCAAGAAACATAATGATAAGATTGGATTTGTTCAATGCACCGACTTCAATACCTCCCACTCCCCCGGTGCTGTCCAGATGTTGACCGGACTGGGCCCAACATAGCCAACAAACGTATTTTCTCCTACCATCGGAATTTGTTCGACTTTGCGCAGCTCCACACGGAGCCACTTTGCTTTGACTCCCTGAGGTCCGACTCTGACCTCGATAGCCTAAATCTCATTGTTAACGTGGTAGTTCTGGTAGCAAAGTCGGTAGGATACCCATGCCTTTTACAGCAGCAAGTGGTCTGTCTGTACCTCCCGAAGGAATGCTGGGGTATCCTAGGAAAACAATGAGACGTGATGCTGGCGAACACTGAGAATGGCAGCTGACCATGGACGAATTCAACATATGGAGGCTGTCGAAGGGTGTTACATGTAGGAATGAGCAAGGTACATGGCACCATCGCCATCAAGCAGACTCACAGCTTCACTTGGGACATGGTCCGACAATGGTGAGAGGGAAAGATGCCACTGCCAATAAGCGCTTCCTTTCAGCTGGAATGAGGCTGGAGCGAGGAGTCAGGCCATCTGACTGGTCTGACCAGGAGTTTTTCTTGCTATGACTTGCCCCGAATTTATGCCTACAGTTAATGGTCCTTCTCTGTAAAGAGTCTAACATCTTGCGGTGCATGACATAGCTATGACCAACGTATATTGATCAACTACGTGTGCTGGTACAAGAAGTAGAACTACTCTTTTCGTAATCATAGTTATCGTAGATAAGGGTATCGGCTTCGCCGATACCAAACATTCATAAATAGGTAAAGATTGATCTCTGGTCTGTACGGTCCCTTACATTCTCAAGCTAATGTATCTTATTCAGATACAACGGCCACTACTATTGGGTAAGTCCTTCTGTTTCTAAACATTCCTTACACTCCAGCTATCATTCGTAGGGATTGTCCGCAAACTATTACCTCAACTCCCCTGGAGGCACCATGGTGTTCGACGGGCTGAGCCAGAGCAACAGTTTCTCCCATGAGATCATCCACAATGACGGCTCTCAAAGAGCTTCAAGCTCTGTTATCAAACTTGCCAAGCCCACCACCATCACCAAGATCAATAATGGGAAGAGGACTGTGCTCCAGTATGCCTTCCCCGCTGAGAACGATGACACTCCCCCAGAGGACCATCAGTAATTGTGCCACCAATAACTTGAACCGATCTTTTCCTTCTCCATATTGAAAAAATATACAACCCTCAAAAAATAGGTTTCTAATTTCAGTAGGCCCTGTCAATGTTGTGACGTTCAGAGCCAAAGCATGTGGAATTGGGTAGCGTTAGGCCAATTTGTACGATTATATATGAGTTGATTATCAAAATGTCATATTGTGTGTACTTAGTGCTTTGTCACCTTGAACCACAGAATATCCATAGCAATCTGCCACACATCCAATCGGAACGGACAACACACCGCATCAGGTATTTCGAGTTCTGGAGCCAAAGGGCGCTCGTACCAGGATCGGTCTGGTACAGAGAAGGTACTAGTCACATGCTCCAACTTCTCGTCACTCAAGAACTGTATGGCTGTCTCGAAATCGATGATATACACCCATGGTCCGGTGAACGCCTTGTAATTGTGACTTTGGGGGTACCATTCCATAATGAAATTCGTTAGAAAGAGATCCTGTTGGTGGTTAACTGCTGGAAAAACATACTAAACAGCTATAACCTACTTGATGCGCGATGCTGTTTTTGTGCAGATACATGACACCCTGTCCATGATTGGTCAAAGAAAGCTGTGAAAGAAAAACGATAATGCTTTACCTCAAAAGCTTGGAGCAGCAAATGCATTATGTCATCAACCGAATTCAAGGAGCCATAATGCATTGCGCCAGACAGATTAGGTCCCTTCAGCAAGGGGAACACTCCGAATATGATGTCACCAAAATGAAGCTCATCAAGAAGAGGTAAAATGTGATTGTTCTCGGCCAAGATATGCCGAGACCTGGATAGCAACCTGACAATATGCAGGTCATTTAGCCCACGTTTTTGTGAACCATAACTCGAACGAGCTTGTCGCCGCCTCGAGAACAGTAACAGGCATTCATGAGTCCATTCTACAAGGAAATAAGCATGTATAAGCCGGAATTAGGTTGGGACATACGAAAGCTCTGAATTCATGTAGAAGAGTATTTTTGATAGATGACAGTCTCAGGAATTTGAATTCGTTGCATATTATGGCTCATCCTCCAGATCGGTGTAAAGGTTCCTCCCAATACTTTCATCCCATAGCATCCCTTCGTGTCCATTCTATGTAAAAATCCCTATAACTATAGTGGAACCACTTTTGTAATAATCCCTATAACTATAGGCCTGTCAAATTCATGTATCCGCTAGAAAGCAAAGTTATACGTAGCCATGAATTTTCACATGCAATCCATTTCTTGGTCTCTCCCCACCACGTGCCCAACCAATTCCTGCCTCGGGTTTGCCCCTCTTGCACTCCCTATTTATGGGTATCAGTAATAAAATATTTAGTATTCATAATTAAAGCATTGTAAAACAAATAAATAAATATAAAATACTATATAATACAAAAATAAATTAACATATAGGCAGCATGGGCTAGAGAGCGATTTAGGGATCGATAGCACTAATGAATGTCATGGTGGGCTCATGAGAGAAAATGGAGACCACCATTGAATCCTCCATGTCTTGGAGGACATTTGACGCCCAAATGGATGTCAGTGTCGCTGCTGTCGTTGGACATTGGCAGCTCGGTCTCCATCCTGCCCTCCTGCCCTCCCCCTTCCTCCTCAGTATGCTGCCCAGTCTCCCTCTACATCCCTAGCCTAAGATCCACCCTAACCCTCATCATGCTTGAAGTCTCCTGGCTTTTCCATCGTCATTGTCATTGTGGTTGTCACTGTTACAGGTGCTGTCCCGCTGCGTGATGAGGTCCAATATGGAAACCCTAGTGATATCCTGTGTCATCATTGTGCTGCGCTTGTGTGTCCAATGACGATCGAGGTTGATGTGTGTGGGGGGCATGGGATGGGTCGTGGCAGAATATGAGTCGTATCGGGGCAATGGCAGGGGTGCATGGGTCATGTCGTCAACGTACAGTGTTGCAGTCATATCTGGCAGTGCTGCCTCGGGTGAGGGCTTATGCATGGGGTGGGGATAAAATGGTCACTACCCAGGGATCTTGGGGCCACCGGATACACCAAAAAGACCTAAATTTGACATGTCAGTATAAAAAACAATTCAAACGTACCATATACCCATGACAATGGGCAAAACAGATGAGCAAGAGGGCAGGAAAGGAAGTGGACGTGGTGGAGAGGAACAGAAAATGGTGCTGCACAGCCACTCAATCACAGTATGGTTGTGCGGTCTGGGGTGACTGACCGAGCGGAATCCATCATCGGGATGCTTCCACTGCTTGATGTACACTCTCCAATGCCACAAAGCATATCGGAATCTTGTATTATAGGTATAAGGATTGTGTGATATATTTTAATGCAACAGGATACCCTCATCTCATGATAATCCTCAATTTACATTGGTTGCCCACATTTTAGGGCACTTGTAAGCAAATACCAGTTCTATATATCTGTGCACCATCTCAATAGGTGTGTTTTTTGTTGAAAATGCAAGGTTATGTCTAGTATAAGTCAAAATAATGGTCCGATCCACCCCGATCTGCTTATAGTCTCACCATTATACGTTTCATGCATAAGTGAAAACAGAATCAGACGAAAGTTCACAAGCTTGTTTTGCATACTACAAGTGTTCATAATATATTCACTTGGGCAGATCCATATATGCATTTGTATCATTGATAATTCACATAAGAAGTCTTTTTCTCATTTGTTATATCATTATTTAGATGCACATTGTGCTGCATACTTTTGTAAAAGTTGAATTCAACAATTGTCTCATCATTATTTGCATTTATTGGTCAAATAAACATGAATTAAAGGCTAATTTATCGGCCTAAAATGTAAAATCATGAAATGTAGATGACTATCATATTTTCGAGGTACAGAAAGCCCTAGGAGTATGGGATTGCAAGGGTATTCTATCCTACGCCCCTAATTGGGGTGCATCCGGCAAATTCTGACCATGGTGAGAGTGGCATTTTCCTGTTTGCATATCAGTTGAATGACAGTATTTGCACTATTAAGCATTTATAATCACATAAATGTATTCTAATTAAACCGAGCCTAAATAATCTGTGTGCAATGCAGAATTTTACCCAGCTTTCAAAGCCAACAGAGCTGCTACCGCATTGGGAATGATATTTTCCCACAGTTTATATGTCTAAGTACACGGGCACATCCAGCCAAAATAGGCTGCACGTGGGTCGGGAGGCAATAGTAAATCATTAATATTATTTTTCTGGGCTGCAATTTTTTTTTTCGGGCCTAAGCAACGAAACACCGATCCAGTACCTGTGGACCCTAACTTGGCAGCCTATGGCAACAGTTTCTGGATCTAGCTAGCACTGGCGAGAACTGCTACAAGGGATACGTATAATTAGAATCAAAAAGTGATGGCATCCCTACAAGATACGTATAATTTGACATTACTATAGTTATAGGGATTTTTACAAAAGTCACTCCACTATAGTTATAGAGAATTTTGTAGTGAATGGACACTATAGCCTCCCCATAGTCAATATCCACACTCAGTTAAAAACCCTTAAATTTACTCCATACTGTTGCATACGCGTTGTGGTCTAGTCCTCTCCAACTTTCGTAGTCCTCAGGTAGGCCTTCAACAGTTTTGTCATCCTCTTCCTTCAAGGATGGTGGTGC